ATAGCTAATAATACAAAAAATCATGACAATGATTTTTACTGTAATAAAAGTTCTGTGAATGTATTCTCTCTTAAAAATATCTTATCGTGGCTCAGCACCTATAGCTTAGTGGCTAGGGTGCCAGCCACATACATTGAAGCTGGTGGGTTTGAACCCAGCTTGGGCTTGCAATGACAACTACAGTCAAATAAATTAGCTGGGTGCAGTGGTGGGTGCCTGTAGTCCCAGCTACTTGGGAGGCAGAGGCAAGAGAATCTCCTAAGCCCAGGAGTTGGAGGTTGCTGTGAGTTGTGTGACGCCATGGCACTCTACCGAGGGTGATAAAGTAAGACTCTGTCTCTATAAAAAAAAAAAAAAAGAAAGAAAGAAATATGCACATTTCCTTTGGAGGACACCAATGGGATGTAACAGTGAGGGACAGACTGTAGAGATGACAGTGTTGAGACTATCTTGGCTGGGTAGGAGGTCTGAAGTGGGTCATGATCCCTTGAGAAGGTTGGTGAGAGCCAGATGGAGAAAGCTTATTGTGCTAGTGCCCATACCCAGGTAAGAGAAGCAAAGACCCCAGGAGAAGGAGCAGAAATATGATTTACTTTTTTTTTTTTTCTGAGTCAGAAAAAAAAAGCTCTGTTGCCCTGGCTAGAATGCAGTGGCATTATCATAGCTCACTGCAACCTCATACTCCTGGGATCAAGCTATCCTCCTGCCTCAGCCTCCTGAGTAACTGGGACTATCAGCATGTACTACCAGCCCAGCTAATTTTTCTATTGTTTGTGGAGATTGGGTCTCACTTTTGCTTAGGCTTTTGCTCAGTCTGGTCTCAAACTCCTGAGCTCAAGCAATCCTACTGCCTTGGTTGGGATTACAGGTGTGAGCCATAGTATCTGGCTTGTTTTTGTTTCTTTAAATGACATCTTCTCAGGCAACATGGTAGCTCACATCTGTAATTCTAGCACTCTGGGAGGCCTACGTGGGTAGATTGCTTGAGCTAAAGAGTTCGAGACCAGCCTGAGCAAGAGTGAAACCCCATCTCTAAATTTGAGACCAGCCTGAGCAAGAGAGAGACCCTGTCTCTAAATATAGCCAGGCATTGTGGGGACACCTGTAGTCCCTAGTCCCAGCTACTCAGGAGGCTGAGGCAAAGAGAATCACTTGAGCCCACAAGTTTGAGGTTGCTCTGAGCTATGGATGCCACAGGACTCTACCAAGGGCCACAAAGTGAGACTCTTGTCTCAAAAAAAAAGGGGGGGTCTTCTCCCCCTTAACATAGAGAAACATTAATAATATGACCCCGAATCCTGTCCAGGAAGCCTCAGTGGACTGCCTCTTACTTTTCATGGTGTCCAGGATGTGGCGCTGCTGGAAGTTGGTCAGTTTGGATTCCTTCATCATCACTGCAAGATAAAGCATTCTGTGAGGCTTCCTGGGCTGCAGGCAGATGCCTTCAGCTCACCCTATTGAAATTAAAATTGTATTGCTTCCTATCCCCATTCTGCATGGAGCATGCCCTTTTTACCTTTCCTGTTTCATTTTTTACTACAGGGCTCATCACCACTTAAATTTTATATATTTTATTTAAAATTTTTTTTACCCTTTTACTATATTAGCTCCATGAGAGTAATATATTTTTTCTTTTTTTCCCACCACTGTATCCCTGGCACCTAAAAATAATGTCTAAAGTACATAGTAGGGGGGCAGGTGCAGTGGCCCACATCTGTAATCCTAGCACTCTGGGAGGCTGAGATGGTTGGATTGCTGGAGGTCAAGAGTTTGACACCAGCCTGAGCAAGAGCAAGACCTGTCTCTAAAAACTAGCTGGGTGTTGTGGTGGGCACCTGTAGTCCCAGCTACTTATAAGGCTGAGAGACCAGAGGATCACTTGAGCCCAGGAGTTGGAGGTTGCTGTGGGCTATCACGCCACGGCTCTCTTCTGAGGGCAACATAGTGAGTCTCTGTCTCAAATAAAAAAGAAAAAGGGTACATAGTAGGATAGTAAAGTTTTGGTTGAGTAAATGAATCAATTAATACTTGTTCACGTGCGAGGGGCTAGAGCTATCACTATGAGCTGAAATGGGAATAATTCTTGCATGATGGAATTCATGAAAGATGAATTGGGACAGATTGGGATACTAAAGTGAATGTCTGACTATAGGTGTATTAAGTCCAACAAAAAGAAATGTATTTGACAGTGTGAGGGCACATAACAGTAGGTCCTTATCTTCTCCCTACCACCACTCTGGCAGTGCTGGTAGGGAGGAGATAAGGCTTCCCTGGGAAAGCTGTAAGTGTGATCTAAAGAATACACAGGAGTATCCTACTCTAAATTTCTTCATTCTTTGACTTTTGGCCCCTTGCAAGCTGTAGCATTTTGAAACTTTCTGAAACCCCAGAGTCTTTATCTTTAAAGGAAAATAGCAATTGCTAAGCCATAGGTCATATATGAGAGAACTGAGTTACATGAGGTAACTATTACCACCCCTCTTCTTGTGTCCTTTAACCCACTGACCTCTGAGCAGCTCGCATGTCCCCGGGGTGTAAGTAGTTTTCTTGGGGCAGCGCCCGAACCCCGTTCTTTTGGTCACTATCTCCACCCTTTCTTGTGAAGCCATGGGAGGGCCCTGAGGATGGAAAGACGTAATAATATATTCCATGTCTCCCAGGCCCAATCTCTGCCCCCTCTCCAATACTCTCCGAATTCTGGGAAAGGGGAACAAGCCGCAGAGAATCGTGACGTCGCTAGTTAATATTGTGACAGTGCCAAATTCTCCCATCCCGACACACAGGCAGATACGCGTGTGGCAGGGAAGTGCGCCTGGGAGGAAAGGAGCGTTAAGATAGCCGTGGTTACAGTAGTACCCATTGGGGATTTGCCAAAATTCAAACCTCACCCTAAAGTAAAAGCCCGTCGGCGTGACCCTCTTCCCACAAAGAGCGGCGTGTGGGCTCCCGGAGACGGTGACCACGGCTGTACCGAGGCACGCGCTCCAGAGAACCAGAGAAATGTGGCGCAGGCTGGACTGCAGCGCAGCGGCTAGCGTCTCTGGCTACCATGGTAACGCGCGCTCCCTGACCTGCGCACGCGCGCCTTTGGCGCGCTCGGTTTGCCTACCGGAAGTGATTTCCTCTGCGTCACGGCGCCGGCGCAGGATACTCGTGGTGCTGCGCGACCTGGAGGCCCGCTGTTTGGAGGTGTCCGCGCGGCTCTGAAGCTTACGGCGGTGTTGGTGCAGCGAAGGTGGCATGTCAGACAACGAGGACAAGTGAGTGCGGGAACGGAATGGTCTTCGCGGGGGCCTCAGAAGGGGCGGATGAGGCGAGGCCTGGGTCCAAGGCAGATGAGGAGCCTGGCGTCGAGGGGCAGTGTCTTAGAGGATTAGGGTCCTGAGGGGGCTGGCGGAGGTGGAGAAGGGAATGGCGGGGACCCAGGAGCATAGCCTGGACAGAGGTTGGGCACAGACAGGCCCAGGTTCGAGTGTTCGGAGAGGTTCCGTGAAAAGGCTGTCTTTTCGTCACACAGTCACTGTCTTGTAAGGAGAATACTGGGGTGAAGTAGGTACGGCCCTTGCTCTTCAGGCGCTCACTTGCTAGAAGAGGGGACAGTCCCACAAGCAAGCGGATAATGCGGGCCTTGTGAACTTCTGTAGCAGAAAAGTGTGTAGAGTAGAAGTTACACAGAGGAGCGTCTGGTCAGGTTCCCAGGGTGGTAACGTCTGGAAGGGTTACAGTAATCTAGGTGAGAGAAGGCAGTGGCATGAACTCGGGTGACAGTAGTAGAGGTGGTGAAAAATGGTTTTGAATTCGAGATATATTTTAAACGTAGAGCCAAAAAGACTTTTTTTTTTTTTTTTTTGAGACAAAGTCTCAAGCTGTGGCCCTGGGTAGAGTGTTGTGATGCCTCACCGCCACCTCAAACTCCTGGGCTTAAGCGATTCTTTTGCTTCAGCCTCCCAAGGAGCTGAGACTACAGGCGCCCACCACAATGCTTGGCTACTTTTTTTTTTTTTTTTTTTTTTTGCAGTTTTTGGCCGGAGCTGGGTTTGAACCAGCCACCTCCGGCATATGAGGCCAGTGCCCCATCCCTTTGAGCCACAGGTACCGCCCTCGGCTATTTTTTTTTTTTT